GCTCGTTTCTATTCATTGATTCCTGGATTTTTCGTTCACTCATTTCACTTCAAATTCAGTTGATTTTCCTTCTTTGTAGAGATGATAACAATCATTTTACAAAGAACTACAAGGAAAATCAAGTGCCAATATATATTGGTTTTGATGGCCTTGTTTGGATAGAGTCGAGATTGAAGTGAAATGAGTAAATGAAAAGTCCAGGAATCAATGAATAGAAATGGGCTCAAAAAAGATAGAACTTCTTCGAAAATCGCTACCAAATGCGGAACTTTTCTTTGCCAGATACAATTCTAATACAATCGGACAATCTATTCGAGTACTTTCCAAACAAATTTTTTGGTCCACCTTCAAAAATCATAAAAAATTGAAGATTTCATTCTGCAACTATGCTTTTCTTCCGATATAACTGCTATTTGGATATTGGAATTTTTTTTTTGTATCACAAAAGTTATCTATGCCAAATTCCAAGTAAATTGGATGAAAATTGATCATTTTTACTTGTAAAGTATAGTTTACAATACAATGCATCGAGTGTCATGGTATACTTAATCAGTTCATTTATATTTCCGTACAGACTTTGAAGCAGGGAATAAAACTTCTATTTCAGTAAACAGTAGAATGTATTCAGATTGGGATTTGTTCGACAAAGTTTAATTTTTAATTTTTACGGCACATATGTTTATGGAAAACAACTCGTGATAAAATAAACCTCACTTCAATTTTATTTTGATTGCTCAAAATGTCAAAAATATGAAAAATAATTGAATAAAAATGGTGGCAAATGCTAATTGTACTAGTTTCAATCAGTTTATTCTAGTACGTTATATACTCGGAGATCAACAAAACATGCTGTGTAGCAATGCTAAACGTAAAATCACGCAAAATTGAACATTCATTTAACATTTCATTCAATTTATTTGGATAATTTTTATATAGAAAATGAAGTTTCTAGATATGGGTTTTAATGGCCTAGTTTGAGTAGAATTTACAATGGCGTGAGAAAACAAATTGAAAAATCCAGGAATCATTGAACGGAAAAGTGGTAAAAAGTCATAGAACTTATCTTAACGAGTTTTAGATTCAAATAATGTTCATTGAAAAAGGAATTTGAAAAAAAAACATTTGAAAAAAATGCGAAATTATTATTAAAAAACATTTACAGGAAATCATAAAACAACTGAAGATATTTTTCATTTTTGTTGGGAAACGTAATAGATCGTAATAGATACTACGTGGGGCGCGTAGTTACTTGTGGCAGCACACAAAACATAACTACGCGTTTCTGGGCCCCGGTGAATATACAATTGAAACTATTGAAAATATCCCAATTAAAAGCTGCATACCAACACCTTGAAATGTACTAAAACCAATTCTTTCATTATATCACTCCAACAATGCGCTCGTTACATAGATATATCAGTTTGTTGTACTTATCAGTACTGGACCGTTTTACAAAACGATAACGGGCGTCTAAACAGCGTCAAATGAATCATATAACTTGAGCTTATCAACTGCTTGGCGTATTTTGAATTGATTGGTTTCTCTTGGGAATGAAAAGGAAAAATAGAAAAAAAATGAATTGCTAATTGCGCGCAAGTGCGTACTGATTATAATCAGTGCTGTTTACAGCATGATATCACACTTTATAAGATAAGTTGAAATTGAGTATTCTATCGTTACATAAATACACCGACGATCTGCAAATCGAGACAATCGTATCGTGAACGTTTCGACGAGAGTATCAAAATGAGTGAAATAGTGTTGCCAAAGTTCATTCAAAAGCTATTAGATAAGATTATCAAAGAAAATGGTTTTAAAGACTGTTCTGTGCAAGTGAAGCAGGGTTCTAACGTGGGCGATGGATTTATGAGTGAACTGTCGTGCATAACCCTTGCTGAACGTAACAGTGAGAAGAAGTTGCATCTTGTGTGCAAAGTGGCACCGTCAAGCAAAAATCGCCGGAAGGAATTCATATCAGATGTTGCTTTCACACGCGAAGCCGCTTTTTACACAAAATTGATGCCGAGTTTTGCAAAATTCCAAGTGGAAAAAAACTTATCGAAAGACGATCAGTTTTTGGCGTATCCAAAGTGCTACGCGGCAACGATTGACGGCGAAAACGAGCATTATGCTATAATTTTGGAAGATCTTCGACCACAAGAGTTCAAACTGTGGAACAAGGCGAAGACATCGCCAATTGAAAATGTGCGGCTCGCAATGCGCGAATTGGGAAAATTACATGGGATCGCGATTGCAATGAAAGATCAAAAACCAGAAGAATTCGCTGAATTTGAGAAGTATACAGACATTTTTCGATTTTTCTTCGAGTCGAAAAATATGCGAGATATGGTTAGAGGATCATATGACCAGGCGATGGCATCGCTAAAGAGTCAAGATCACAAGAACATCATGCTCGATTTGAAAGAAAATTTCATGGATTATTTCGAAAATATGTTAAATGAAAAATCTGCTACTTATTTAGGAGTGATTTGCCATGGTATTTCAAAAAATTTAAGGTGCCAATTTGAGTTTTTATTTATAAATAAAATTTTCTTTTTATTTTGTTCTTCAGGGGATTTCTGGAATAATAACATACTTTTCCGTTTCAACAAAGATGTAAATATGATACAATTTAGAGAATTGATTTAGAAGCCAAATTGCGTTCTATGAAATAAAAATGAATTTCACAATAAGAAGAAGAATAAGATCCCGAAAATAACAGGCTCTATAGTAATGCTCAAGTCTTGATAATTTGTTCTTATAAATCAACATGATGTCCGCATACCTGATAAGCAGGGCAACTAAAAATATTTACGAACATATAAAATATTTTTTTAAATATTTCGGCTAATGTGCCGAAAAAAAATATTTATAAATATTTCGCTATTTTTGAGAGCAATCATAAATATTTCACCACATTTCAGACTTAGCGTATAAATAATTTCATTATTTTTATCTTCGGAATCAATGTATCGCAAAATTGCGTCATTCTTCACCGCTTTCTGTGCACAACATTTCACTTTAGCAATCGATTTTTAAATCTAGTATCCTTTGTTGACCATTACAACACACAGAACTATCTGTACGAGTCGTATGGCACGACAACAGTGCTGGTGGCGGTTCACACAATGCTTATGCAGAACACGAAAGAAAGTGAGAAAAGAAATAATCCCAATGAAAACAAACAGCGCGGTCTATTGTTTTAGTGCAAACGGTTTCCCACAAATGTAATATGACACTTCAGTTTGGCAATCGATTCTCAATTGTTCGCACGCTGCATTTGGAACAGTTTTAAAATGCCGAAAGAAAATTTGCAAAGATTCTTTGGTAGAGCTGTAAAAGAGCATCCAAATGAATTTCAAACCGATGGCTCAGTATTGTTCTGTAAAATGTGTGATATTGAAGTGATTTCAAAACAAATGTCGAACAAGGGAAAAACAACACGAAAGGATGATTTCGTCGATATGCTGTCACCGGAAGAACTTAGTTGTTTTCTGTATGCACCAATCACCTTATGTGATGTTGAGAGAACATTTTCGAAGTATAAACAAGTTCTGGGAGATCAACGTCGTTCGTTTTCATTCGAAAATTTAAAAATGCATGTCGTAATTTATTGCAATAGCTTTGATTAGTCTTTAACTAACGTATTTTCCTTGGAAAACACCAAAAATTTACTGTTTATACTCAAATATAATGGTTTTTAATGAAAATATTTTAAATATTTTCGTAAATATTTTGGACTTCTTCATAAATATTTCGACGGTATTTCATAAATATTTACATAAATATTTTGGACTTTTTCGTAAATATTTTTGGTTACCCTGCTGATAAGAAATAGCTGATAGCTTTTTTCAACAGAGTTATAAGCCGAGATTATATTTACAACTCTTTCGGAGACGCCTATCTCTTGTTTGTTTTCGGAAAGACGTAGATTGTGTTGTCATTCAAAGAACGTTGAATAATTGAAAGTGGAAGAAAATTGATTGAATTATTTCTTTTGAAGGGTGCCGCGGAAGACATTCGACTACTCGATTGGCAAGTGATCCGGTTCGGATCTCCAGCAATTGACTTACTCTATAATCTGTTTACATCCACCGATAAAGCACTCCGCGATAAGGAATACGACAATCTATTGCAGTTTTATCACAAGTCACTATCCAGAACAGTACAGCTATTAGGAAGTAATCCAGACGAGCTGTTTACATTTGATGACTTGCAATCAGAATTGAAGCGATGTGGCAACTACGCACTGATGCTCGCTCCAATGCTTATTCAAATTTCGCAAGCAAACTCAAGCGAAGTTACAAACTTAGACGAAATGTGTGACAAAATGGCTGAGGGTGAGAATGCGAACCAAGGCCTAGTCACTGGTTTAACAGAGCACGGGCAAGCGGAATACGAGCGTCGACTGAATGATGTCGTTGAAGATGTGGTTCGGTTGGGCTATTATCACAAGCAAATTTTTAACCAACTTTGATCATGTGTCGCTTGAATGAAGTAGCACAATTGGAATACGATCGTCGTTGAACGAGGTCTTTGAAGATGTTATTGATAAACTGGGCTACTATCATAAACTTGATTGATGCATTTAAAACGTTGACATTGAAACCTTCCTTAGTCAGCTGAACTAGATTCAAGTTCTTGTTATTAATGATTTATTTTCAGCGAATACACAATTGTAATTATTCAACCTATGCTTTTGGCCGGCGCAAGATAGCGGCGCCTAAATAAGATCGGTGGCGCCTAAATAAGATGTATTGGCAATTTGGGGCATTTTTAGGAACTATCAATACTTTTTGTTGTTGTCACGAATTTCGCAACAACAAGAAGTATTGATAGTTCCTAAAGTTGCCGCAGATTCTATTTAGGCGCCACCGCCATTCACTGTCACGTCAAATACATTGGTTCTTATGGCAGAGAAGCACACGTTGTAATTATTGAAAATATCCCAATAAAAAGCTGCATAGCAATACCTTGAAATGTACAAACTAAAACCAATTCTTTTATTATATCACTGCAAAAATTACCTCATTACAAAGATATATTAGTTTCTTGTACTTATCAGTACCAGACACTTTTGCAAAACGATAAAATTGTAATTTATTAGACACCATGTACATTACAGCAAAAACAACATTTCAGATAGATAGATGGAAAATAATTTTTTCAATTTTATTTGATGAAAATAGCAACATTTAGAGTGTAATAAGTTGCAAATTACAGCTTCATGCCGTTTTATTTATAAATATTTGAACACAAATTCATTTAGCGAACATTCAATTCGTACCACCAAAATGGGTAAAGTACAGTTACCACATTACGTTTACGATCTTTTGAATCGTATAGCGAAAAAAACGGATTCAAAGATTATTCTTTGACAGTGAAACAAGGTTCGCAGGTCGGAGATGGATTCACAAGTGAAATCTGTAGCGTAACGATTGCTGAGAATGAAAAAAGATTGAATCTTGTGTGTAAAGTGGCTCCAGTGGACGAAAATCGGCGCAATGAATATTTTACAGAAAGTATGTTCAGTCGGGAGGCGACTTTTTACAACGAAGTGTTGCAAAGTTTTTTGAAATTTCAACAAGAAAAAAATTTGGCCGAATCCGATCAGTTTTTAGCATATCAAAGTGTTATGCTGCAATAGTTGATGATCAAACCGAACAGTATGTGATTGTTTTAGAGGATCTTCGACATCGCGGCTTCAAGTTATGGGAAAAAACTAAAACAGCGCCACTCGAAAATATGCGATTGGCCATGCGTGGGAAATGGGAAATTTACATGCATTTCAATGGCAATGAAACATCAACAACCAGAAGTGTTTGCCAAATTTGAGACAGTTACTGATCTCTGCAGAGAATATGTTAAGTCTGATAGTGTGTTTGAAGCCTCCTACGATCGAGCCATAGCATCGTTGAAAAATAACGAACATAAAAACATTATGCGAGAACTTTGAAAGAGAACAGAACTTTGTCTCGCATTATAGTTCTGTTCCCAGTGAAAAAAGCCGCTTTGCCGTAACCTGTCATGGTACTTTTTTCAAGATACATTTTGAATGTGTCCAATAGAATTCGCAATAATATTGAATTATTTCAGACGATTTGTGGAATAATAATATCTTATACAGTTTCGATGAGAAAGTAAGTTTCATTTATCTAGATCAAATGCAATATTCAACATTTCATCGGTTTGGTTTGTTAACCAATTTCCAAGGGTATGACCAAAGGTATTAAACTGTTGGATTTTCAACTTGTGAAATATGCATCGTCAGCAATTGACTTGGTTTACGTCATATTTACATCAACCGACAAAGCACTTCGAGACAAAGAATATGACAACTTTGTTGAGACTGTCCCCAGATGGTCAAGTCTCAACAGAATGAATAAATGAATAAAACACCTTTACGGTTTAGTTAATATTCAAATACTGATCTTTCATTGCGCTATCCGCCTCTTTTATATCAAAAGAGGCGGAAGTGAATGAGCTTTATTTATAATTTTACCCAAAATAGGAACTTGACAATGGTTGTTTATATTTTAATATTTTTGTTGAGCTTGTATGTTTACTTCTAGGGGAATTTAACTCTTACGAGTTCAGCATGTTTTCTGCCAGTTTGCTTGATTCGCGGAAGTTCGACGCGTTCGTTGTACGTACTGATGCGCACGGTCACAAGTTTACACAAGTTTGTTTATGGTTTGGCGCGTTTTTCAAGTTGTTATTTGACATCTAAAACGCGTTTCAAACTAAAAATCGGTTGTTTACGTGTATAAAGATTTTTCACATCCTTTCCAAAAGTTCAAAGATTTATATAATTATAAAATGGACAAAGGAAATATTTTTAAAGAGCTGGAGAAAGTGTTGGAAGAAAAAGTTAATCCAGATATAAATGGAACGACTGATGTGTGCGCGTCGTCCAGCTTCATGTTTGCACACGAACTCGCACAAGTTCGCGCATGTTGTTTTAATACGGAACTTGTCAACTGAGTGGAATCATGCAAGTTCTCTGGTGAATGTAACAATTTCGTGCGCGTTTATATCATTTTTTTACAAGTTTTCACGTAGTTAAATCCCCCTAGGTTTACTTACGTGAACAAACTTACTGCATTTATACTACGACTCACTGTCAAAAACCGCCACCGCAATTCGGAAGTGATCTAAGCGAATTATTTTCATTTGATGACTTGCAATCAGAATTGAGAGAATATGGCAGCTTTGCTTTACTACAAACACCTCTAATACTTCAGTTTTTACTGTTGGCCGATTCGACGGACTTTTCGAATGAAATCAGCGATAAAATGAAGGAAGAAGATCAACAAGAGATAATTGCTGAGTCAAAAAGAGGAGCTGAACAAGAATACCAACCTCAATTAAATGAAATCTTCGAGGATATTGTTAATCTTTGCTATTATCATAAAATAAATCAAATGCGAGGATAAATTGGTGTGTTGAAATTTGTTAAATGTTTGTAACTGGAAAAGGCACATGAGAAATTCCCAAAATTCACATATTTGTACCCACATGAATTAGTAAATTTGGATGTGATAAACATTCCGAGGGTCACGACAAGTCATTTATTTGTCTGAATGAGAAATATGAGCAACGGTTGAGATCGATGTAATCAAAGAACATTGGTTTTACAATTTTGAGTGTGTAATGTTCTGTCAATTAGATTTTTTACTTTGCGAGCAGATCGTTCAGTTTAAGAAAACGACTTCTATTTAAATACGAGCTTCGATTGATTGCACAATGACTTTGACTTGCGGTTTTTAGATTATAGTCATAGACTTAACAGTGCGTGTTCTAAAATTAAATATTTTTTTCACTTCAGTACAATTTTTTTTTCATACAATTGTTTTTATAACTGTGACTTAGAGTGTTTGGTCACAATATGAAAGTGTGTATCGTTTCAAAACATTTGAGGGACAATTGAATTGACAAATCAAAGCAAAACTCAAGTAATTTCTTATGCTCACATTATTTCAGTTTAAATAACTGGGACATAATAAATCATCCTAATCACCATTTATACGGATAAAATAAACTGGTATTTTGACTCGATTCTCACAGCAAAGTGTCACTCATGGCAAATTTATCATATAATTCATTCTCAAGAAAATGATTGAATTAAAATCCCATGAAAAGAATATACTCATTAAATTTTAATTTTGGAATGTGAACTAATTTAATGAGTTGGTAAATTGCATGAATAAATTTTTTTTGCACAAAGATAGGTGTACATTTTTTTTCATGGTATTGCCAAAGCATTCGACTTGTGGATCGGCAAATATTGAATTACATTTCACCAACGCTTGATCAACGAACATATTTACTATATCTACCGATAAGACACTTAATGGTAAAGAGAACGAAAACGTGTCGTGATGACATTAATCAAGATAGTGAAACAACCAGGAAGTAATTCAGTATCCAGATAAGATGTTTAAAAAATAAAAGAATCTGAATGATTTACAATCAGAATTGAGATGATGTTGCAATTACGCATTGCTGATGGTGTCAATGTTGATGCAAGAAGCACAAGCAATCTAATCATATTATTCGATTCGAGAATATTATTCAATTTTGTTGAACTACACTTTGTTCGTGTTAAACCTTCGAAAATAAAATTTGAATCTTCTTAGTTAGTAAAACAGTTGTTTCCATGGAGTATGGGCATCAAGTAAATTCAATCGATTGCTGGCGGTGTCGGCAAATTGACTAATACTTATACCACTTTAAATCGAAGACGAGGAAATGTTCAATTGGATCAATTACAAGCTTTGTCATTGTCGTTGTTGGTTAATAACATGACATTGGCGACTTTGATTTGTGGTTTTGAAGATCATGATCAATTTGATTTAGAATTATTTAACATATTTACGTATTTGCTTAGTTGATAGTTAGACTTATCACTCTAAATCGCAAATGTTGACGATCAAATGTGTATATCATAGTGATAATGGTTAATAATATGTATTGGTACAGCCATGATTCCGTTGTATCATGGCATACAATCAACCATGATCAATTTACAAAATACAACAAAGCACAATGTACAATGTATGCATTGTAAAAAACAATAAATCGTTCAATTTCTGGATGAATTGCAAGTTTGAATGCCATTTAATTAAACAATGACAAGGGAGAATAGAAAAAACAAAGGATTGGTAATTGCATGTGCCATGTGCTCGCTGATTACAGCATGATATCACGATTTATAAGATACGTTGAAATTGGATATTCTATCGTCATATAAATACACCGACAATTTGCAAATTGAGACAATCGTATCGTGAACGTTTCGACGAGAGTATCAAAATGAGTGAAATAGCGTTGCCAAAGTTCATTCAAAAGCTATTAGATAAGATTATCAAAGAAAATGGTTTTAAAGACTGTTCTGTGCAAGTGAAGCAGGGTTCTAACGTGGGCGATGGATTTATGAGTGAACTGTCGTGCATAACCCTTGCTGAACGTAACAGTGAAAAGAAGTTGCATCTTGTGTGCAAAGTGGCACCTTCAAGCAAAAATCGCCGGAAGGAATTCATATCAGATGTTGCTTTCACACGCGAAGCCGCTTTTTACACAAAATTGATGCCGAGTTTTGCAAAATTCCAAGCGGAAAAAAACTTATCGAAAGACGATCAGTTTTTGGCGTATCCAAAGTGCTACGCGGCAACGATTGACGGCGAAAACGAGCATTATGCTATAATTTTGGAGGATCTTCGACCACAAGAGTTCAAACTGTGGAACAAGGTGAAGACATCGCCAATTGAAAATGTGCGGCTCGCAATGCGTGAGATTGCAAAGTTTCACGGAATTTCGATTGCAATGAAAGATCAAAAACCAGAAGAATTCGCTGAATTTGAGAAGTATACAGACATTTTTCGATTTTTCTTCGAGTCGAAAAATATGCGAGATATGGTTAGAGGATCATACGAGCAGGCGGTGGCATTGCTAAAGAGTCAAGATCACAAGAACATCATGCTTGATTTGAAAGAAAATTTCATGGACTATTTCGAAAATATATTAAATGAAAAATCTGCTAATTATTTAGGAGTGATTTGCCATGGTATTTCAAAAAATTTAAGATTTCAATGTCAGTTTCACTTATTATTTTTTTATGTTTTGCAGGAGATTTCTGGAATAATAACATACTTTATCGTTTCAATAAAGATGTGAGTTTGATACAATTTAGAGATTTAAACAGCGTGATTGAGGAGCAAGTAAATTGATTGAATTATTTCTTTTGAAGGGTGCCGCGGAAGACATTCGACTACTCGATTGGCAAGTGATCCGGTTCGGATCTCCAGCAATTGACTTACTCTATAATCTGTTTACATCCACCGATAAAGCACTCCGCGATAAGGAATACGACAATCTACTGCAGTTTTATCACAAGTCACTATCCAGAACAGTACAGCTATTAGGAAGTAATCCAGACGAGCTGTTTACATTTGATGACTTGCAATCAGAATTGAAGCGATGTGGCAACTACGCACTGATGCTCGCTCCAATGCTTATTCAAATTTCGCAAGCAAACTCAAGCGAAGTTACAAACTTAGACGAAATGTGTGACAAAATGGCTGAGGGTGAGAATGCGAACCAAGGCCTAGTCACTGGTTTAACAGAGCACGGGCAAGCGGAATACGAGCGTCGACTGAATGATGTCGTTGAAGATGTGGTTCGGTTGGGCTATTATCACAAGCAAATTTTTAACCAACTCTGATTATGTTTGATCATTTATATATTTATTGTTTATTCTTCGATTTACATTCAGAAAACTATTTTTCTAATCGGTTTTCACGTGATGCTTTGTTTATTGAATGAAAAAATAGAAACGAAATAAATAATATTTAGAAACATTTCTTTCATATATTTGAATTAAGAAGATCGTTTTCCACTGATAATTTTGAAAATTTTCAGCTGATAATTTAAACACCCGCGAAACGAAAATAAAAATGAAAGGTAATACTTACAAGAAGAAAAAGTTATTTAACAATTAAAGCGAATGATCATGAAGATCTTTCAATCTAAGTTCGTAGATTTTGCCCGAAAAAAATTGAAATGCTCAAAACATTGAAGTTCTATTTAAAATAATGGAAATTTTCAAATTCAAATTGGTATTGCCGTATCAAAAAATAACGATTTCTTTCGTTTAACACAATTTAGGTGCTAAGCAAAGTTAGATTAGTTCTACTGTAAACAAAAATTCAAATCCGAATTGGAAGAGAGTTTAAAAAGTCCAGAGATGACTTTAGCGCACTCGAGTATTTGTGTTGTTTTTTTTTGTTTTTTTTTCTTCGTTATACTTTACCATTTTGGTCAAAAAAACTTTGTATCAATATTTTGTGTAACATAACAAAGAACAGTTTTTTGAAAAACCACATTTATATTAGTAAAATATGAAGAAAAAATCCCCAAAAGTAGAAATTGCGTAATATTGCAAAATTGAGCCAATGTGCGTAATTACTAGGTGCATATGACCACACAATGCGAATACCGGGAACAGAAAATGTAAAATCTTCTTCGTTATATTACACAAAATATTATTTTAAAAAATCCCAGCCAAAAAGCTAAAGTAGAACGAAAAAACAACAAAAATACTCGGGTGCGCTGTAGCGCACTTGAGTGCGCTAAAGTCATCTCTGAAAAAGTCAACGATCGGTTGAACTTGATCCGAAATCACTTTGGTCACTTCCTGTGCATCGAGTCAAAACACACATTTTCAATTGATGAACAATTTAACTCAATGATTACAAATAAGTACGATTCTTTATTTAAAAAAAAATGTATGTGCCATATCTGGGATTTGCTGGTAAATAAATATAATGTCACATCAATCATTGTTTTTCTTCTTGGTGGAGAAATTGCACAACGCTGTTGATAATGTCAACGAATTTTGGTTTCATGCACAATAATCATGTTCAAGTGGAATCTCTATTTTTAAATCATAAATTAGAGATAAGCATTATGGTAAAATAGATTACAATGAATTGAGTGCACGAACATACTTCGTAGTACTCCGGAATATTTGGGCTATTTTTTATATCAATGAACAATCTTTTGAGTAACACTTTCATTGAGAGCAAAAAAAACACACATAATTAGAAAAACTGGTTTGAACCAGATATTCCCCTTTGTAATCTAAGTAATGTATTCATAGAAATGCGATAATTAAAAACGCTGAAGCACACGAAGTTATGTAAAACAAGTCGCTCAGTGCAGTATTTGAAGCCGCTGAAAAGATGATTGACACAATTATGCGTTATTACACTACTATTGATAGCAGCCGGTTAAAACACATTCTTTTCTTCATTCCACAGCATAGAGAACTACAGCATTTTGAAGAAGAGAAAGCAGACACAAAAGTTCGTTGACCAAAGGTGTAATATCCAATATTGGATGAGAAACCAAAGCAGACTGTTACAGCTGATCTCTGTTTGGATAAACAACTTTGAGACTACTTACAGTTTGAAAAATCTTGGATGATCACAAAAACCGGTCATTGACAACGTTTGACCCAAATTCAAAACGAATTGGTGGCTCTTTTCATTCTTGGGCATTTGTGTATTCTACCAAACTACTCTTTAGCTAATAGCATTTTTCAAACCGAAATTTTCTGTACGCTAGTTTAACCCTCAATATTTCACTCATGAAACAAAAAATCGTGACTTTTTCATGACAAATCAAAATTAAATTAAGCGTAATTCGTAAACACTTTTGATAAGAAACGAAAATCCGGTTTGAGTCAGTTTTTCGGTCAGGGGTGATAGACCCATATGTGAAATTCAAAACAATCCGATGATAAGACGACCATTCACTCTTTGGATGAAATGTAGCACTTCAGAATCAAATTGCCGAGAAAAAAAACTCGTTTTTTCCCACTCTGCTTCGCTTGTTGTCTTTGTCTTCCCATTCCCATTCCAATTGTATTTAGAGTCAAAAAAATATATATTCGTTATCTTTGTCGGTGTGATTTAATCTGTCGCACTTTGATGAAATATAAATAGAAATGAGTGGAATGGTTCCAGCTTCAGTTTGATTCAAACCTTTGTGAGAAACGTAGCAAGAAAAAGTGATAATCATATCGTTTGACATACCGTGCATTTTGTGAGTCAAACAGCATCCGATTTTAACGACACAAGTAATATATTCATTATTGTAACAAATTCACTTAAAAAACTTCATCGTGCTTACCAAATTTTGTTAATAAAATTCGTAAAATGAGTTATTTGATCAATACCTTATTGGGCACTACTGGTAAAGTTGAAGCAGGGCCCGTGTGCAATGGCTATGAACCGTTGCGTATTGCCATAATCGGTCAAAGTAATTTCGCCGCAGATGTGTTGGAACTTTTGGTCGATGGTGGCTATGCTGTGGTTGGTGTTTTTACGATTCCGGACAAGGGTAACCGAGAAGATATACTTGCAGCGACAGCAAAACACCACAACATTCCAGTGTTCAAATTTCCATTGTGGCGTCGAAAAGGTGTCGTTTTACCGGATGTACTTGAGCAATATAAATCGGTTAGGGCCAATTTAAATGTGTTGCCATTCTGTTCGCAATTCATCCCGATGGAAGTGATTGACGGCGCGAAACACGGTAGCATTTGCTATCATCCGTCTGTGTTGCCGCGTCACCGTGGTGCGAGTGCCATTTCTTGGACATTGATTGAAGGCGATGAAATTGCTGGTTTTTCAATATTTTGGGCTGACGATGGTTTAGATACAGGGCCCATTCTACTGACAAAACAATGTAACATTCAATCCGATGACACATTAGACACAATCTACAAGCGATTTCTCTACCCAGAAGGGGTGAAATCAATGAAAGATGCCGTCGATTTGATTGCCCAAAAGAAAGCGGCTAAAATTCCACAAATCGAATTTGGTGCATCTTACGACCCTCCAATATTCAAAGAAGAAAACCAAATCATTAATTTGACACAGTCGGCGTATCGCATTTTCAATTTTATCCGTGGTTTGGATTCCGTTCCGGGCGCCTTGGCATACACACTTTCATCGAATGGTGACGAAGAACCGATCCGCCTATTCGGTGCCAGTTTATACCATGACACAATTCCCTCGGATGCAAAAACATTTAATCTCAAAGGACTGCAGCGTCCGGCATTGATTAACGAACATGGTCTTTTGATACCCGGAATTGATGGCAAATATGTAAATGTAAAACGTATTATGCGTAACGGTCGAATGCTCGCAGCCTGTGAATGGTTCAGTTCGAAAACCGAACGAGTTACCATTGAATTGAGCGACGAAGAGAAAGTGATTGAAGACCACTTGAAGAATATTTGGCGATCAATTTTGAATACGACCATCGAATCGCAAACGAATTTCTTAACCAGTGGCGCTGGTTCGATGGACGTTGTACGATTGATTGAAGAAGTTAAAGATGCATTTGAGATTCATTTGGAGAATGCGGTGCTGTTTATGGCACCAGTGTTTGAAGAATTTTTGACGGCCGTAGTTCTGGCTAAACGATCCGGTGCTTCAGGCACTGCAGCCAATGTCGAATACAATGGCATTACGATCAACGAGAACAAACGGAAAATTCGCGTGCCCACACAATTGTTCATCAATGGTAGCTTCACTGATGGGACGCATACAAAGAAAATCGACATCGTCAATCCAACAACTGAGCAAGTTATTTGTAAAATGCCTGTTGCAACAGCGCAAGACGTTGATATTGCGGTAAAATCAGCGTATGCCGCTTTCAAAGGACCGTGGAGTGAAACCAGTGCCAGACAAAGGGGACAACTGATGTACAAATTGGCTGACTTAATGGAAAAACACAAAGAAGAACTGGCAACCATTGAAGCAGTTGATTCGGGCGCTGTGTACACATTGGCATTGAAAACACATATTGGCATGTCAATCGATGCATGGCGATACTTTGCTGGTTGCGCCGATAAAATTGAAGGCTCAACGATTCCAGTCAATGCGGCCAGACCAAATAATGTACTCACATACACGAAACGAGAACCAATCGGGTAGGTTTGACTTGTTTTTCATTTTATTTCTTTTTCATGGTGAAGCTCATTTTTCGTGACTAATTTTTAAGTAAAAAACGAAAAAAAAGGCGAAGACAAAGAAATCAAGCAATAATAGAATTAAGAAAGATTTTAATGTTCAAATATTTGTTTCCTTCTAATATACAGAGTGTGTGGTATAATAACACCTTGGAATTATCCATTGATGATGCTTTCATGGAAGATGGCCGCTTGTATTGCAGCTGGCAATACGGTTGTTCTCAAGCCAGCCCAGGTGTGTCCTCTAACCGCATTAAAATTCGCTGAGTTGACGGTTTTGGCAGGATTTCCTTCTGGTGTTATCAATATTTTACCTGGAACTGGATCAGTTACTGGACAATCTATAGCCGATCATCCTTTAATCAGAAAACTGGGCTTCACCGGTTCAACGGAGATTGGAAAGACCATAATGACATCATGTGCGCAATCAAATATCAAGAAATGTTCATTAGAACTCGGCGGAAAGTCTCCACTTGTCATTTTTGCTGACTGTGATCTTGATAAAGCTGTTAAATATGTAAGTGATTGGATTATTCCACAAATATTTTCCAACTCAATGAATTTCACCTTTTTCTAATTGCAATAAATGTTCCTTCATTCATCCATTCAGGGTATGTCGTCGGTATTTTTCAACAAAGGTGAAAATTGCATATCGGCGGGTCGTTTGTTTGTCGAAGACAAAATCCATGATGAGTTTGTGCGTCGTGTGCTGAAAGATGTGAAAAATATGAAAATTGGTAATCCATTAGATCGGTCAACTGCACACGGTCCACAAAACCACAAAGCACACTTTGACAAACTACACGAATACTGTGAGCGGGGTGTGCGCGACGGCGCCACATTAGTTTGCGGTGGCAAAAGAGTACCAAATCTGAAAGGCTACTTCTTCCAACCGACGGTTTTTACCGACGTCGAAGACAATATGTACATTGCCGAAGAAGAGTCGTTCGGTCCAATTATGATAATTTCGAAATTCAACGGCTGCGACATTGAAGGTGTCATTCGTCGTGCAAACAAAACCGAATATGGATTGGCTAGCGGTGTGTTTACAAAGGATTTGAGCAAAGCACTTCTTTTTGCCGATAAAATTGAAGCGGGAACGGTGTTTGTTAATGTCTACAATAAAACTGATGTGGCAGCACCATTTGGCGGTTTCAAACAAAGTGGATTCGGCAAAGATCTAGGCAAAGAAGCACTCAATGAGTATCTGAAAACGAAATGCGTCACAATTGAATATTAAATCATTTGAAATGCTCCGTTATGCGATGAATAATGAAGTAATTTTTAGAAATAATAACTAAAAGCATTTAATAGAAATTAAATTCCCACAATTTCACCTCTGAATTCACATTTAGCTAATAAATTATGGTATTTCTGCGTAAAATTTATCAAATGTTTTCGTTGCCATTTAGTTGATTTAGCAAATATACTTCTGCATTGAGTCAATGCCATTGACATGCACAAATGGTTGTGTTTTAAGCATTTTCGTATGTAAATTACTTTCAATTGTTTGATGAGCCGGTAAATTGATAAACATTATTAACGAAAATATTTGCAATAATTCTATTCGTAAATGAAATTTCATTAAAAATTAAAAGAAAAGGTTATATATTCATTATTATTATCATGAATTCAAAAAATCATCATCAAAATGATGCTGTATTTCACATTTTGATTAGAGTTTTATTTAAAATATTTTGATCATTATTACAATAAACATAGCAATTCAGCTCGAAATTCAGTTATCTTTCCATAAATCGACCACAATAGCAGCTTTGTTTCTGTTTTCACCTTGTTTCATTCAAATAAATGGCTAAATAAAATAACAAATGATTCTATATTCTACGATAGTAATATTTCATATACGTATCACTCGATGAGGCACACAATAAATGAGAGAACAAAAATTAAATGTTTATGGTGGAATATTTATGATGTGGAATTAGTTGGCATCCGAATGAAATATGCCACTTTATCGATTGGCACATGATAGCTATAAAGCCATCGATGACCTTTGCGAATTGAACCGTCGACACCGTCTTTCCATAGGCCACCCGGCAAGTAGATGGTACGTTTTGTTTGGCCACGATACAATGTTGGGGCAACCACAACATCTTCACCCAATGAAAATTCATTTTCGGCTTGCAGGCATGCCGCATCAGCGGGATCAAGCATCCATAATGGTCGAATCATTGGTTTGCCCTCGTACATGGCCTCATTCATATACTTTTTGAGTATTGGAATGACAATCGTTTCTCGAAGCGATGACAGCTCTTTGGCGATATCGGTGATGAAATCGCTAAAGAGAAAAAAAAACACATTTGAAGAAAGTCGAAATTTGTGGGGGGGAAAAATGTCGGAAGATTCTAAAAACCTACCTTTTATACTCTTCGGGCAAGTGTGAGAATCGCATCGATGGCAAAAATGTGCTCAGTTGATACCAGCGAACGAATAACTCTTGGTCGGGCAGCTGAGGCTGATCAAGCGAATGATACGAAAGGATTGTGCTATCATTTCCGGGCACATAATAATCACCTCCGACAGCACCGGCTATTATGAATGGCATTCCAACCACACCGTATGCCAAAGCAGTCGGTAAAATCGATTGAAGACCTTCCCACGATGCGTTCACCGGCGGCAAACTCAAAAATGATGGTAATTTTGGCACTGATATCGCACCCGAATAGGCCATTATTTTTATTGAATCATCAAACTTGCGTCCGAATATCGTCTTATATTCGTCCGGATTCAGCAAACTTTTGCTACACTGATAATAATGCGGCATATTATAGGCCGTACCTAATTTGTGTTTGTATGACGTGAGAAAAAAAACAGAGCAAAATCGTGTTTGAGTGTTGAATATGGCAAAAAATTATACTATTCAGCATGTTTGGCACGTACCAAAGTCCAAAAAGAACGAATCGATTTGATAGTCTTTGGTGACTTTCTTCAACTTTTGTAGTAGCCAAGTATATGTATCAGCTATGGTTATATCCAAAACTCCGGTGCTGGGAGCACTTTTGTAACGTGTTAACGCCGGAATACCTATCGAAAAAAACGAAAAGTTAGATAAATTACTTTCTGTTGAGATAATTCAAAAATTTGCTTCGACGTGCTTCGAGCCAAGTCAACTTTTGTTTTGAATAGAATAATCCGTATATACGTACTTCGTTCAGAAAGACGCTCATAAATGAGCAACTTCTTTTCAACGCCTTCTTTGAAACTTTTCGAATCCGTGCTGATGAACGGTTGTACGGTGAGCACAATGCGAAAACCACGTTTGTGCAACTCTTTGATGGTGTGAGCAAAACGTTCGAATCGTTCGGTGTCAACGGTGAAATCACCGATTTCCTTCTGCCAAAATTCATTCACCAAAATGTGTCCAGGCTTTAAATAACCGACAGATATAACATCCTCTGTGTAATTGAATATGACAGTTTCAGTTAACTGATCGAAACTCGATGCTGGTATTTGCCAAACGGGCTCTTCCATCAACGAATAAATCACTTTCAAATCGGCTTCGCTCAAATCGTCTGCCAGCTTCTTCTCAACGGTCATATTGTGCAGTTTCTTCATGTTTTCGGCAATGCAAATGTTATAGCTCAGCTCTGGATACGGTGTCATCCGATTCACAAATGCGAATGCATCGTTCATGGCTTTCAAGCAAAATTCATTAGAATTACTGTGGTTCATACTGATATACAATGGTGTTTTCTCATCCACTCGTATCGAAACACTGTGCGAACTGATAAAATGACGATTCAATGCATTGCTAAACTGTTGAGCTCGTGCATCGCCCGTAATAAACGGTTCAAAGTCGAAACGACCTCGACTCAATGGCCATGCATTATTTTTTGTGGTGCCACCGCCAAACCAATGTACTTTGTCGCCGATATCAAAACAATCCGTTGGAAATGTGCCATTTTTCAATGCTTGCCAACGCAATGTGAAGCATCCATCTCGTGTTTTGTCTTCTTTCAAATACAAACGAGCCTCACCATCCCATTCGATGCACAAACTGCCATCGTGTGCATTCCCATGCACACAGTGAAATGGTTTGCCATCGAAAATATTGCGGCCCAATCGACCCTCTATGAATTTCCGGCGATGATCGAAAATGCGAAACACTCTGGTGTCTTTGTCGAATTGAATGCGGCCAAAATACAAGTATGAAAGCACATGTTGCTCGTACATGATGTACGCGTATCCAACCAGAAACACTATAATCATAAACAGTGTCAGCACAAACGTTTTTATCTTCAAGTCACTTGTTGCTTCTTTCTTGCGGCGTATCATCGACGGGAACATCTAATAAAATGCAATAAACATTCAGATTTCCTGCCAGTCAACTACAGCAAAGCACACAGCTCCACTGTGTGCAGTGCATATACACAACAATTTGAACATATACATCTGTATTTGAAATGGGCAAAGTTCAATTACCTGCATCTTTTCCTTCAATAAACTGGCCAACGAATTAACACTTGTTATTGAATTCTGATTACTGATCATACTTTGACTTTCAAATTCGTTCGCCATCATTTCCTTATCATTCAAACGCAGTGCAGGCAACGGGGCGATCGATAAACGACGTTTTGTACGGAAGAATGACCTATTTTGTTTTTGATGGAACAAAAATCGAATTAAAATTTATTATTTTCATTGAACAATCGTCACTGTGAAATTATCAAAAAAAAAAGTACTATCGGAAAGAATTGAACGCAAAACCGAAATCGAAATGCGCAAAAACAGAAAAAGAGTAGAGAAAAAAATCAAATTTTTCGCCCTTTTTTCAGTTTGCTCAGACACAAGAAACTGTTGTACGAACCGATGGCTCACGAGACAATCCACAGACTGAACACTTAATTCTCATAAATTGATTCAAATTCAGATTAAATTGGATTTTATCACAGTGTAATACCATTATCACTATATAAGTTTGTATCAGTCGGTCGCTGAGATGTTCAACGAGACATGTTTCGTTTGAAACAAAAAAAAAAGAACAATACAGAGTGACACACATGATTTTCGTTGGTGTTTTGATGCATGCATGTCACATATGACATGTGTGAATGACTCGTCACAAATGTGCCTCTCTCTCCGTTTTGTAGTATACGCTCGTTTTCAGACGCTTAAGGCATTTCTCCGTTATTTTATCAACATTCACAGTCATTTTAGTTTGTGATTTTGTTCGATTTGGTGGTATTCATGGTCGGAACATGTAACGCGTTGGGTTCGATAAGAAATTGTTCAAGTGATCGGTTCGAATGTTATGAACAAACGCTAATTCTTATCTATGGTGTGCGAAAATAATTTTAAAACGCTATCAATCCATACGAAATACGCGAAGGTCACAAACAGTTGATTGGGTTCTTAAAAAAAAATTTGTTTGTTGTGCGACAAACACTTACTGGAATTGCGGCTTTTGCTTCTCATTATCACTATCACTCTCTTCGTCCGGATCGGCTGCTCGCTCAATATCGTCGCCGGCATTGGTGACCGCCGCATTACACTGTTGAATCAATTTACATGGCGATGGTAGTGGCGATTCGGCCGATGAATCCTCATCCTCATGTTTGTTGTCATTTGACTGGCTATCGGTTGGTTGCGACTAGAAATTTAAGTAAATCAACGATTTTATCAATTAATAATTCGAAACAAGTTCCCTTTTTTAGTGATTTAAAATCGATTTTCAAACTTGAATAATGTACGCAGCTCAGTTGTCCACTAAATGCGTGCATAAACTCAAATATTGTGTCATTTCTTTTCATATTTGCTTATTTGCTTTCGGATGATTGTGGTTATGTTCCACTTGTTATTTACATTGTCCGACGGTGAATGAACGATAATTTTTGGCGGTTGAAACAAATCTTGAAAATATTCGGACGGGTTTTTCTTCTGATTTGACATTTTGGACTTTTTCGTTTATACTTTAGCTCAAATTGTTAATTAGTGACAATATTTCAATGATCTTCTAATGTAATCACAAACTTCGTGTCGAATTGGATTTAAAATGAGATTGCGTGAAGAGGTTTAATCAAATTTTTGCATGATTTTTGTCATTTTGTTATCCACTAAACTTCTATGACACGACGAAATTAAATCAAGAATTAAAAATAAAAAAACACAACAAAATAACAACAAAACTGTCAAACTAAAAACGCTTCGAAACTGAACAGCATTTGTTTGACGTTCGTCAAAATATTCCAAACATTGCGAAGCATAACGATGCTCAAGCAAATACCAACAAATCGATTGTTCATTACCAGTTGTGTGCATGTGAGTGTGCGCGTGTGAGTGCACGAAGCGTATTCAATGAATGAAAAAAGAACAACGTCTTCACAAACTGTCACATTTTCTATACGATTTCATAGCGTGCCGTCTGCTGACTCATACAAGAATCAGTTGTCTAAAGCAGTGTATAACTTGCGATAGGATTACGCGTTTTTTCTTCTTCTTTTCGTTAGAGTGTTTTTTGTTGTTTTTTCTTCTTTCGTTTGTTGGATTTGAATAAAGAAACATATACTGGTTACTTTGCTGGTGTAAACAAGTCAGGAAAAAAAGCGTATGAAGCAATCACGTGCTTATTTAATCGAATGCGGTGATAACGAGTCGCTTGGTACTAATTGATTTTTAACATTGAATATATCAATAATGAATGCAATTGCTGGTTAAAGTCAATTCGGTGCTCTTACCTCTTGTGAAATTTGATCTAGTTGCTGTAATGCCTCCAAATCAATGTTGGTCAATGCTGGCAACGAGATGGAATTTCGGCGCAAATTGCTCCGTGCTATCTGCTCTTTTGACACTAACGCTGGCAAATTGGAAGCACTGCCAATCGATGAGTCTGGTGTCGGTGGCGGTGATTGAGACCTGTTTAATTTTTCATTAGCAAATGGCTAAAATGGAAACGGCGGTATTTTCCAAAACTTACGTAATATCTCGAATGGATTCTCTCAACTCGGAATTATCCAAATATGCGCTCGAATGCCCGTCAATCCCGTTAACTTGGCATTTTTCTCGCAGTTCCGTTGGAATAGTATCAATGTCAACGCTACATCTCGATTGACGAACAAGAGGAGCATCGAGTGGAATGCTTTCTTCACTGCTCGACACACTGATGTACGACTGTCGCTGGCTTGCTGACGGCGAATCAATGCGAATGAATGGAATCGCTCTCCGTTTTTTGTCATCCATTTCCGAATAATTTATGGCACACTACACGGGTTTTTGATTCTCTTCACTTGTTTCAATCGGTGACTTTTGATTTTTTTTTTGCTCTTGCTGCGAAGATTGACGCTTCGAAGCCAAATTACATTATTTGTTTTTGCCGAATCATAAATCTATTATCTATGACATGAATTATACAATGATTTTATACACACATTCCCTCTTATCGCTCTATCTATCGATATGGAAGACAGATTGTCACTGTATGATTTTAAAAATTCAATTCTTTTTCAACGTCAGAAACTCGTAAAAATGATTCGCTACTATATCTCTAGTAGAAAAAAAAATCGGCACAATTTTTTTATCGTTCAATTTGTCACGGCAGCTAAATATTTCAGTTCGTTTCAATTAGTTTTATTTAATGAAAATCTACGATATAATATTCATTCTATACGAGCAAATGTATTTTCACTGTTTTTATTGCGAATAAAAGCCTCAAATAACGAGCCCAGGTTGAATTGAGATGTGAAGGAATTCCAATCGGTAGCTCGCGTGTCTATTGTCCATTTATTGCATCAATTGCATGAAAATTAGTTTTCAAATCACACATCAGTCAGTATAGCTGCAGGTAGGTTTGTGCACAAGCCACTGTAGCCTATTACTGCAACTGAATTCTTAATCACAAATGGAAGGAAAAAAATATCATAAATTTGTTTTATTTACGTCGTCACATGTTTACATTACTGACTACAATCAAATGCAAATGATTTGATCCATAGGTAGTGTTAAGTTTTATCTGTGGATACGTCAAGACGAGGGATCTATTTTTTTATTATGGATCAATTTTAAATTGGCAAATATTGATAAACTCTCCCGATTAACTCACCGATTAACTCACTCCCGGTGATAAACGGGACACAATTTGATAATGGATCTTAATTGCGGTCGGATCAAAATAACGTGATGTAATCCGCTTACTGTTTTTTCCCAATTGCACCTTTTCACTTATCGTCACCTTATTTTTCTCGCCACCAGAAAAAATCGTTCGTTTTTTTCTTTCAACGTAAAAACGTCAATCGAATTGAATATTCAAAGAAATGGATTGTACTTTTTGCGATTCAATTCCAACTTTTCTGGAGAACAATACATTCAATTGAACATTTAGTTGTGCACTGTCACCATGGTGGAGTCCGTTTCGAGACTGAATTTTGATCATGCGGCAAGTACTTGAGAGCGAAATCATAATAAAGATCTATACACATGTGCGCTGTGTTTCATTTCGTGCTCTACTGAAGCGTTTTAAAATAATGTTCGCGGTAAGTGATGAGCGAGCGCTAATTACAAATAAATACATTGTGCACGTCGGTGTGCTTTGCATTTCACTTCACATTCAAAAATTGTGACATTTGGTCAAAAACTGAAGAGAAAAAAAAAAGAACAAGTTCCATGTGAGAGTAGCACGCATCACTCAGAACCAGATTAAACTGTTGCCGCTGTTTGTGATGGAGACCTGCTGTAAAAAGAGAACAACAAATGTTGTTTACTTGTGGTTTGTTTGAATCCGATACGGCTCTTTGATGCCATTCGTGTTTCGATTGGATGGTTTTGCGGGTTTTGACAACGCATTTCACACGGCATTGTATACGTTATTATGTGTTTATGGATTTGTGTGTTTGTTTGGGTATGGCCCGCACACACACATGATCATATTTGTTCAATGGACGTTTTGACGCTATATTTTTTGCTTGCCATCGTCACACGTATACGTCTCTCTTTGCGCAGAGAGATAATTATAATTATCATCATTGTGATAAAAAAGAAGCAGCTCAAACAAACCACTCTCCCATTGAAATAGTTTCAACGAGTTAGACAATTGGCCGAAAATTGACGGGGACCGACCGGTTTTTGTTTTGTTTTAACAATAATAAAAAGTTCAAATAATCACCGTGAATCGATGGCATTCGATGTTGATTCTTTTCATTTGCTTTAGTTATGATCGTCATGAATTATGTCAACAATACAACCTTGGCCACATTTTTTCTTTGCTTTAAATTCAGACCGGCCCAAAGGTGACCGGTTTATTAGCGGCTTATCGTAAACCGTCGAAATCGGTTGAAGAACTGTCATTTCTGGAATGAGAAGAAAGAGAATACTTCGATATAGTTGATATCAGATAAGAAATTGCATACAATGGGCTTTGTCACGAGAGCAACTCAATTTGATTTATGATTTTCCCTTTCCTTCGACGCAAACGTTAACAATAAATCATGTGATGAAAATGGCCAATTCAGGCCTTTGAAGATCAAGTTCAATTTTCGAATTTGACACCATCGATTCGACACTCGAGCGCTGCATTTGTAGCGTAATCGCTTTGCTAAAAATCAAAAGCACATTGAACCATTAGAACGGAGAAACACAGACTCATAAATAACAGAGAAAGAGAGAATATGTTTCTTCCATTTTTAATTAATGAATGCGAAATTACATCCGCTGTTATGCGAGCGAGCGAAATTAATAAAGAGGAAACATTAATAAGCCAAACGCCCCATATGCATACAAATGAATACACGGCATTATTCGTGTCGAAAATGACAGAGCAGCGAACAAAATGATTTTAATTGCACATGTGATAATTGAAGATTTCATGACGTACTAATTGGTCGATATGACTGAAAGGGCAAAGCTATTTAAATGCTCATGCTAAAAATAGCCATGAAGCGACGATAAACTTGAATGCACAGGCACACACACACGCACACCAAAAAAGTGCCTTTTTCGCTAACAAGATATTTATTACTTTTCATTGTGTAAACAAAAAGAAGACTGGGGTTGCATGCATAGATAAAGAAGTAACATTTTTAATGGCACTTTGCTTTGTTTTCGTTTGCTCAGCTTGCGAATGTCGCATTCTCGTTTTTCCGCTTTGTTTCCCTTTTGTCTTTTACTTTTACCCAAAAAATAAGAATAACCGCATGCACAACGATCCAGATGTCAGGGAAAAAGAAATTAAATGGAATCATTGGGGCTAATCCGTAATGAAAATTACATTTACCATAAGCATCGGCAACGACAAAGACAATTGCAAACAACCTGGAGATGGAGCAGCAGCAAGATAATCAAAGTGAAACTCGGTCGACGCAATCAAAATCATATCATTCGGCTTATGGCCGTAATTAAATTTATCAATTTTACCTGCGATATACCTGAACCGAAGCATATATATATACGTAGAGCTAAAGTATCCCGAGCCAGGATAATCGCACGCAAACGATCGAACCGACGTACAGTAAGATGGTGCGTATGTATATTCGGTGTGTTGCAAACGAGATGCACCCTTCTCAAATTTATACCGAACGCACATCAGCCGGTTTGAGGCATTTTTCGACTTTTTATCATGCTCCCCCATTTTTGTTCACTGTCTTTTGTTTGTCTTTTTTCTAACCTACCCGATCCGATCCCCATTTTACATACAGAATGGATTTGAATTCGAAACGACGCATACAATGTGTATATACGCACGGTTCAAGCTTTATGTGTTATGATTATTCTATTGAAGAGACGCTCATGTTCTCGGTACTCGGTACTTTTGTGTCTACTGTTTTGCGTACGGTTTTATATTGGCACTTGTGCATCTGCGTTCATTGATCCTGTTTGTTCTTTTGCTCGTCGTGTGTGACACAAAAATATCAAGAGGGGTGCGTCTCTCAGCCAAATGAATTATAAGCTCGGAGGAGCTTTGTGCAACAACCTCAATATGGAAGGGAAATGAATCGAAACATATAGTGGGTCGACAAGAAGGTAATCGTCGCAAAGAAAAGAAAAATGTATGTGCCTTTGCTCGCATCGAATTATCTTCATCTTTTAAATGACAACCAAAAGCTGGAAGTTAAATTATTCAACGGCATCGCTTAGTCTTTTCCATCTTATTTTTCTCTTCTGTGCTTGTTTCATTTCATTATGTATTTCACCATACATTTTGTATTTGTGGATGGATTCGCAATGTATCGTTTCAAACTCATTGCCAATACGATGGGTATAAGCATTACTTATGCATTTTCCATCCGTGTACGACGAAAATACAATTTTCTTAATTCGTTGAGAATGTCTATCTCACACACACACACACAACGGGCGCGCGTTCAAAGCAAAAGCACCAATATCATGATTATAGCCAGCTTCAAAAGAACCTGTGTTTATGCAGTGTGTACGGAAAGCCATTCACGTTCCATGAAATCGAATGAAATTTAAGTGAATCGTTTCCGTTTCAAGCGAACGAACGAAACATTTTACCAAAATCATCAAATGATAGTGACGATGATAACAAACGAACAGAAACAAAGAGCCAGCTGAGAACACAACGAAATAACAGGAGCAAAGACAGTATAAACAACGAGGAGACGACAAACGCACACACACACAGAGCACTAGAAGCGAATGCACAATGGAAATTGTGTAGCAGATAAGGCCGTTTGCTTCGTTGGTATCCTCATTTGGTTCCTGTTTCGAAACGATTATTCCCACAAATTGTATTTCGATCGATGCCAATGATGTCATGCATCTCAAAAAGAATTTCCATTGACATCAAGATTCAGCAGACGATTTATTCGCTATGATTAGATTATAAGCCAGCGTTTAAATGAAAAAGGAAAATAAGAACACAGAGCGAATGCCAATACTTTTTGCTAATATCATCCGAAAACTCATTCCGTACCTTTGCAATGGGAAATGGATGGTCTTTGTATTTTGATGCCAAAATTGGATTCATTCACCAACAAACAATCGCTTGTAATTTAGGTCTATGAGCTTGCAAATGATAAAAAGCACTTTATTTGATTGCATGAACTCACTTTAAAATGCGGACACAGACTTTTGCGTTCAATGTTGATTAAATTCACTTTTGAATACCGCCGAGAAAGTAAGAATTTTCGAAATGGGAAAATTCTTCAGTTTCAATTCATATCTAGTTAATGTACGAAGAATGAATTAACGCAAAAGAATCTGGAGATTCGAAATATTCAACTGACGAAGCTATATTTTGGATTTTAAACTCTAAAATTACAAGGAAGCGAATAGGTTTCAATTCAATGAACATTTCGGGCGTTTTTTTGATCCGGCCTGAGTTGATACCATGCCTACGTATTCATAACCAGTTCAAGTTTCATATCTTTCATTTTAAAAAATTCGAAAAACGATTGTGTTTACAGCCAAGTAGATCGTTGAACTTGGTTCAAAATATCATAACATAATCGGACTCGTTTTCTGCTTTTGTTCTGAACTTCTTGTTTTTGGTCCCTCCAAACAATCTGAATATTCATGACACATTCTTCAAATTGTTTTTTTTTTACATTCCCTAGTCTTGAGTAAATTTGTGCTATAACTTACTTTTCAAGTTACAGCTTTTGAACATAAACATCAAACTGGATTGAATAACAAAAGATCTGCGTGGATACAAAAGAAATTATTTGGCGAATGATGTCAGCCTGACAAAAATATCACAATTCATACTAATGATGATTGACGAGATTAAAGAGCATCAGTTATAACTTAATCGCTTTTATGTAATTCCAATTTTTCGGTTTCGCTTTTGTTCAATGAACAATACACTCATGCTAATGGTGTTTTGCATCGATTTAATAATTAATTGGCAATAATGTAACCTGACAGATTTCGGAGCCGGAACCAAATTTACGCAGAAGAAACAAAAATCCAATTGAAAACATCTGGTGTAAAGATTTGGGTATAAATATGGTACAAATTCTATGAGCCCAGCATTCAACTCAAGCGTATCAAAATAGTAACTTCTAGCTTACCCAGAAAAATTGTTCAACAAAAATTCAAGATGTTCAAATTGGTAAGCGCAAACGTTCTTTTTTTAACACTTGGACATTTTTATTTAAATAAGATAGGAATTGGGTGTTCATTCTGTAGAATTGTTGCGTGAAAAGTGTTAAAAAGTAAAATTTCGGTTTAATTTGAAAAATAAATTTCGTTTGACCAAACAATTAATTTTTTTTTCCATCCGAATTTCCCACAGATTGTTGCTGTTCTTTTCTTTGTGACCGTTGCATCAGCATTGCCAGCACCAAAACCACAATTCATCACAAGCGTTTTCCCAAGTGCTTATTCAAGTGTTTATAGTGCAGCGCCATTAGTCCATTCCTATTCACCATACTCGGCCTATGTTGCACCGGTATACAGTTCTGTCTACAGCCCATCCGTCTACAGTGCATACAGCCCACTTGGATACTCAACCTTCTTCTAAACGGCAATCGATCACATTGAAATAAGAAAATCACAATTCAAATCGTGTTATCTCTTAGACCGAAGATGATCCAATAAAGAAATTTCTTATACAAAAACCAAACACAGTTTTTGAATTTACTGAAGAAAAAAAGTTCCACCGAAAAAAATTCCATTTCAAAATCACATCAGTATTTAAGGGTATAAGAATCGCAGCGTGTGCCAGTCGGCAACAGTGCAAATGTTATTTCGGAAAATTGAATGAACGAATGAAACGAAAAAGTTGGTATTCCAAAGCGTTCGCATAATTCCGTCCGAAATATGATTTGAGTTCCAAACAATTTAGCA